GCTGGAGATTACAGAATCTGGAGCAGTTGTCCGTGGCAACCAATCAGCATCTCTCTTCAGTTTGCTCAGGTAAGATTTGAAAATGAGACAGAGAAGCTGATTGGTTGCCGTGCACAGCTGCTCCAGATTTTGTCTGCCGCAGTTCTGATAAATTCCCTACAATGTTCTTAAGCAAATTGTTACTTTGTAAATCTGTTGCTTGCAGACTCTGTCAGTAACAGCACTTCCTGTTGCAGCCTGACAACCCTAATACACATCCTGGACACTGTGTATCTGACCCGATAGAGATCCCGATGGCCAATTGAAGGAACACACACGTCGGGCTGACAATGCTGTTTTTTGATTGCAAGGCAGTGGCTTAGAGATAGCAAAACAAATGATTATCCGCGCTATAGTGCTCTGCCCCAATCTCCTCAAAAACACCCTATTGACAGCTGCAGAGATAGAGAGAAACTATATAAACTTCTCCCACAATATATTAAACAAAAGACACTGCGCTATCTTTAATATTATAAAACGTATCATATTAAAGATAGCGCAGTGGCTTAGAGATGTTAGCTTGCAACAGGAAGTGCTGTTACTGGTGGGATCTCCAGCTGAGAAGCCTTCCAAAAAAAGGATTTGCTTAGGTGCCCGTGAAGGTTCTCCGTGGAAAGCAGAAATCATCAGCACTCAGTAAATATTGTTGATGTCCATTTAATCGGACCAATCATGTCATGTACAAAATAGCGACGTTTCGGGACCGCACAGGATCCCTTCATCAGGGCGACAATGTCAGGTTACAAAGTAAAACAAAGATATTTACCGAGTGTCGGTGATTTCTGTTGCACGGTGCCATCCGTGATTGTCACTGTGAGCACCACTACAAGTACTTGGGCCGGGAGCGCGGTGAGGAGTGCAGAGGGACTTACTACTTTCTGGGAAGGTTCTCATTCATCCGGGTCACATGGTATATCTGTGAAAAATAAATCACGGCCACTGGACTCGCTGTATTTCTCTTGAAGACGTTTCGCCGGTCATCCGACCAGCTTTCTCAATACAGAACGACAGCTAGTCGGACAACCATCGAAACGTCTTCAAGAAAAACGTAGCAAGTCCAGTCGCCTTGACTTATTATTTACAGATATGATTTGATTAAGTAAACTGTAGACAGTGAGACACAATGCCAAACATACTGCAAGACCGATGCTAGAGTCACATGCACGTTAAATGTTGCTTCTGCTGCAGAACAGCCGTCTAGGTGGTGGACTGTCCGTAGACACGGCTTCTACGGTTGAATAACTTTCCGTTGTGTGTTCCTCATTGGATGCTTCAAGAGCCTGCTCATTCGGAAACACGGGAGGTAATAAATGATTGTTTTAATTTAAAAAATGTTTCCTTTGCTGCCTTTCAGCTTCAAAGTATTCAGAAAGGACGAGCTGGTTTTATATGGCACCCGAGCCGGATGGTGGAGGGGCTGGTAGAGTAACGGAGTCATTCTTACGCTGGAACAGAAACAATGTTTTGTTCTGAACTTCCAGGAAACTTCCTGTTTCTACCTTTTAGAGACAATGCGAGTTGCCTGGCCGTCGCACTAACTGTCATACCGATCCTCTGGCTTTGGCCCCGCTGAACCCGGAACATGTATTCACATCACTAGCTTCCCCGTGCTTGCTATGCGAGTTGCCTGGCCGTCGCACTAACTGTCATACCGATCCTCTGGCTTTGGCCCCGCTGAACCCGGAACATGTATTCACATCACTAGCTTCCCCGTGCTTGCTATGCGAGTTGCCTGGCCGTCGCACTAACTGTCATACCGATCCTCTGGCTTTGGCCCCGCTGAACCCGGAACATGTATTCACATCACTAGCTCCCCATGCTTGCTATGCGAGTTGCCTGGCCGTCGCACTAACTGTCATACCGATCCTCTGGCTTTGGCGCCGCTGAACCCGGAACATGTATTCACATCACTAGCTCCCCCGTGCTTGCTCGGAATCTGATTCTCAAAGCCAGAGGAAGTCCGGCAATTAGAAGGGGGTAAAGCAATGGAGACCTCGGTTTTTCTTGTGTCGGTGTAACATAGAAATCCCGTCATTTACGCAAATTGGTTTGGGAAAAAGTTTTTCAAAAACATTTTTTTGGGGTGAATCTGGAAAGTTTGAAGAAATAATCTGGACACAGTTCAAATTGGGAAAGCGATGCTTGCCTGCACGCACTGGAGGGAATTTCATCAACACTGGAACAGACAAAATCTGGAGCAGCTGGACACGGCAACCAATCAGCTTCTCTCTACCTGACCAAACTGAAGAGAGAAGCTGATTGGTAGCCGTGCGCGGCCGCTTCAGATTTTGTCTGCTCCACTTTTGATAAATTCCCCCCCACTGTAGAGCAGAGCTGTAACGATCTTACTTTTTATTGTTTGGACTTCATCCAAACTTTGTATAGTTCTGGATAATGTAGAGAAGGGTTACTTGGGTTTGTAATGACCGTCTGTGTCTTTGTTGGGATTTTCAGTCACTTCCTGCCCCGGTGACCACGCATGGAATGATACGGCATTTATCAACAAATTGAGGTAAAAACCCATCTGTCACAATATACAGTGGGAG